GCCGTGAAAGAGGAAATGTATTAAAAGTATGCTTTGCCTGTTTTACTCCACTCCATCAGCACGTTGTAGTGGTCTGTAGAGGAAGCCTGTTCATGAGCTAAAACCAAAAGTGTGTTCACATGCACATGGAAGCCGTGAAAGAGGAAATGTATTAAAAGTATGCTTTGCCTGTTTTACTCCACTCCATCAGCAGGTTGTAGTGGTCTGTAGAGGAAGCCTGTTCATGAGCTAAAACCAAAAGTGTGTTCACATGCACATGGGCTTGATTGTGCTGGAGGAACCGAAAGCAGAGCGAGTGGGTGCCAGAGTCCTACAAGGGTGTGTGCGTTGGTAAGTTCTCAGTAAGGTATCAGCTGAAAGGGGGCTGCTATAAATCTGTAGGGCCATGGGAAACCACCCAAGTCCCGTTGGTTCTTATGTTTTTTCCTCTCCAGACCACTTCAAAGACTTTTATCATAAAAACAAACTCCACTGGGAACAGTACACTGGATATCACTTTATAGGTAGTGGGAACCTCAGAAAATTTGGAGGTAAGTGACATAACCTGATTGGTGTTTAGGAAGATGATCTGGCAGTAGAATGGAGGATTGTAGGGTGGGTAGAATTGAGAACAGGAAGATTAGATAATAAGCTAGCACAGTGGACCAGCCCCTAGTTTCGCCTTTGAGCCTCATGGAATTTAGAAGACCATTACCAGTTCTGTAGCCAGAGAGTAATGGTTACATATCAGATGAGATAATGTTATAGGCACATGTTTTGTAAATTATAAATATGAGGTTTGTTACTTCAGTGGTGACATCATTGTCAGCACCACGCTCTCCCGAGTGAACCACAGGCCAGCCCCAGTCGTGACATCATTCTGTTTCCTTCATAGGAAGTGTTTTCTGTTCTCCCACTTACTCCAGGCTTGAGGAAGAATACTGGACTAGAAGGTGGACCAACGAGGTTCTACTTTGAGCTCTAAGACTGTGTAATCTTGGGAAAATCACTTAACCTTCTTGGTGTTCCTCATTAGAAAAACAAGGTTCAACTAATCTCTAGAATTATTCCACATTTACAGCTTCTTGGTTTCTAACAGTATTTATTTTGAGGGAAGAGACAAAGATAAATAGATGGATATAAACAAAATTATTATTTTACATGATCCCAGTAGTGAACAGCAGTGTCAATACCACTGCTATCCTTTAATCCATATGTTGGTAACATTAAGAGGGGAAAAAGTCAGACAAGCTGTAAGTTAGTAAAGAAAGAGCCCACTCTTCCATATTTAAGTATTTATTTAAGTTTAAAAATAATCTTCATGGCACCAATGATTTTATGCTAACTACATACTGCATATGTAGAAAAAAGTACATTGCTTTGAAGGAAAATGTAACGTAAGAGTTTTTGGCACACAAAAGGTTAACAACTGTATATTTTTAAATGAAACTAAGAAATTCACATTTGCAGGTAGTTTACCCTCTACTGCTTAAAGATGCAGTACACTCTTTTACTAAGAGTTTTATTTCCTCTTATAGATGAAGCTATGGAAACCATTGCTTTTTCTAGAATGAGATAAAACTAATTTTGAGAGAAAATGAGAGACATAGTAGAACACAAAGTTAAAAACTTGAACAATTTTTAATGGTGGGGAGATACCAAAAAAGACTAATCACCAACGAAGGAGGTTTGTTATTCAAGCACTATTTGAAAAGCAAATTGAAGGAAACTTTTCTCTCCATATTTTCTGGGATAAGCCTGAAAAAAAAACACAAATAACCCAAAAGTTTCTGTTCAGAGAGCAAAATTCAGCTGTTGGAAATGGTATGGACTACTGTACTGTTAGAACTCTAGACATAAGTAACATACCAGGAAGTGGAATACTGCATTTCTTTCTAATGTGAATATGAAAGGTTAGAGTCAAGGCTATCACTCACTGCATAGAAACACCATATTCTACAGACTGAGGTAGGAGCACTACACTAAAAGGTAATCAGCTATGTTGCATAAGACAGTAGAAATCCAGGTTAACACCAGCCCCCATCTCCTGGCAGCCTTTTCATCTCTGGGTCTACTTTCCACTTTAGTCCTGTACTAACTAAAATCTTTGCTGTGTAGATGACAAGTGGCAGTGGCTAGTTGGTTTTAAGTAATCCCTAATCTTTACTAGGATCTACCTTAGTTTGTCTTGTCACTTGGTAAATAGATGTTTGTAATTCTGCCCAAATTGTTGCTGGTATGGAAATGATCAGAGAGGCCCTCTTCCATTTTTAGATTCTGGTGCATTTTAGCATTCCAGTACTTGATCTTGGCATCAGACATCTCTTTGCTGGTTGGTTATTCAAACACCCTTTAAACAAGCTATCCCATTGCCTTCACCAGGAAATGGTCCTAGATCTTTAACACATGTCTGGAACTGACCTTCTTCTGCTGACATACTGGCAAGGATCAGTTTTACTGTCTAGATCAGAGTTGGCACATTATGGCCTGTAGGCCAAACTCAGCTCATCATCTATTTCTATAGTTTTATTGAAACATAGCCATGCTGCTTCTTTTACACATTATCTATGGCTGTTTTTGTGCTATGATGGCAGAGCTGAGTAGTTGTGACCGAGTGTGGCCCGCAAACCAATATAAAAAAATATTTACTATCTACAACTTTACAGAAGTTTGCCAAACCCTGTTCTAGATGAAAGAGCATCTTTCTTTAAAATCAGCAAATCTTCTGCCTGCCCCCCTCGAAAAAAACCCCAATTGTTCCATGGCTGTTATATTCTGAACATGTACATGGTTCTACCATCTCGGGGGCAAAATAAGGGAGATTAAATCTACAAGTGACTCACTCTGTTCTGCATTTGGGGCCATCCAACATCACAGGGTGTCAACAGCAGCTGCTCCACTGTGGTGTGGATCACAGGAATATGTCCACTGACCTTCCTTAAATAAGTCTTCAGGCCCCAGATGACTTAGAAATCTCTCCCTGAGATGAAAACAAGCTCTTGTGTGTGGTTAGTTCTAATAGGTGCAGAGCTCAGGCCTAGGACCCCACACTTACCCTTCATGTGCCTGTGCTTCCAGGGCTTCCCTCAGCAAGGATGGCAAGTGCTTTCCTAGAACTTATTTTCCTGATGCAGAGGATGACTCGAGGGGGCAGCATTTCTACATCTAAGTGTTGGTCTTTGCCATGTTCACCTTCTGTTTTGTAGGCATCTTTTAGAAATCCTTTTTAAAGAGATTCTTTTCCTGGCCCCTTGCAAGGCTATTTGTTGATCTTGGAATTCTATTTTCTGAGGCTTTTCATTCTCAGGACCAGTTTCTTTCTTGAATAGTTTAGTTCATCAGGTTCTATTTTCTTAATCCATAAAGTAAAAACAATATGAATTGATAAGAAAATAACATTTCGTTGTTAAAATATAAATTGAAATAGTCTTTTTAGGAGGGGGGTTGTGTACAAAAAGCACTGCTCTTTGAATCTCAACATTCTCTCAGGTAACTTAGCTCTGGTTTCTGTTAACTACACTTTGTCCAACATTTCTGAAAGTGCTATCTCTGGCACCACTGAATTCATTTAATGCCTCTGGAGCACTGTAAAAGTCTTGAGGTTTTTCAGGAAAAAACCCACAGAAGTCTAAGTTCATTATACAAAACTCATGGTGATGCCCACTAGGCTCTAGTCTAAGGGGACAGACTTACCCCACCCCTTCTGCTGCTGCTGCTGTAGCGGTGGTCCCTTCAGATGCCCACTCTGCTCAGATTTGAAAAAACAAAAGGAGAAGAAAATCCAACTCAGACCATCATAAGAAGCAACTTTCCATTTAATCATTCTACATGGATGTTTACTTTTTTAAAAGTTGTCTGGCAAGAAAACCTAAACAGCCCCCATTGTCCAGACCCCTGGCCTGCCCTGCTGAGGCTGCTGTGGTGAATCTACTGGAACCCAGTAGCTCTAGTAGGACAGCTCCTGCAGGACACAAGAGGACAACAGCTCCCTAGTCTTCAACTAGTGTCCCATCTGGTAGGTGACACTACTGTAATAATCAGTAATAGTAAAATAAATTATTTTTATTTGATACTTTCAAAATAATACACATCTATGAAAAATCAAAATTCAAAACCAAAAATTATCCTGCAAATCAGAAAGATGAGAAATAGAGTTGCTGAGCCTTTCTTGAAAGAACCTCTGAAGTAAATGTTTTCCCAGTTTGTTTAGAAAGGGCATGGGCCTATCAAAATAATACACATCTATGAAAAATCAAAATTCAAAACCAAAAATTATCCTGCAAATCAGAAGGATGAGAAATAGAGTTGCTGAGCCTTTCTTGAAAGAACCTCTGAAGTAAATGTTTTCCCAGTTTGTTTAGAAAGGGCATGGGCCTATTCCTTTCTTCTTCTGGGAAAAAACCCTCCTAGGCTGCAGTGGACTTTTGAGTCATGAGAGGAGGATTTGGTATATGTGCCGATGGTTCCGCAATGGGTCCCATTGCTGGGAGTGAGTAGCTGGGCTCCTTGGTCCACCTGGCTAGTTACTGGGAGGAGTCATGCCTTCTCAGGTGTCAATGAGCAGGCTCACCACTGAGCGGATTTTGCAGGCAAACCATCGCCTGAGGGGACAAAAGTATTGATAGTGGAACTGTTCAAACTCAGGGGTCTGGCGGATATCGCGGAAAAAGGCAATGTCAAGGTCAGACTCGGTAAGGATGATCAGGAGGAGGAGCAAAACAAAGAGGAGTCCCATGGTCACAAGGAGCAAACGGAGGACACTTAAAACAAATTTATTCACCTGTTCCTTCTCTGGCCCGCCGTGCCCCTGACACAGTGCCCTCAGCTCTCCCCTAAGGGCCTCCACCTCAGCAGCAGTTGGTGTGCTGGCCTCAGACTCCTTCTCCTCCTCAATGCTGCAGGTGGCTCCGTTGATCTGCCGGGAAAGCAGCATCAACTCCAGGCTGTGCTCGGCCACAGGGGTGGGCAGCACGCTGTCTGCAGGGCTGTAGGCCTCATCCGCAATCACAGCTACTCGTTCATTGTTGTCTGCCCTGCTGCTTCTCACATGAGGCAGAAAGCTGTCCCCGTGGGAAGAGGAACGCACCGGTGTGGAATGGGCACTATCCCGCAGGGACTCTAGGCCTGCAAGGCAAAAGGAACACATGTAGGCTTTCTGTGTCCCAACACACACTGCTGTGCGATAGCAATCATTCTGTTTAATCACGTGCCCTTCTGCGCAACACACATGACCAGTTGCACTCCATTTTGATATATCAAGAATAAGACAAGAGAAGCACCAGAAATCAGAATGGCCATTTTGGAAGTTTCTTGTGGTGTTTTTGTTTGTTTGTTTTTTACTTTTTGCTTATAGTTTTGGCCTATTTTGTTAAAGATTCTGCCTTTCCTGCGTTTGGTGCCCTGGGTCTGGTTTTAATCCCAGTTTGAAAGAGAATCTGAGTCAAAGGCTATCCCTGATGCAGAGCTGGGGCCAGGGTTCAGAGATCTCAAGTCTGCCTCTTGGGTGGAGGGCCTTGAGAGGCAGGAATCGGGAGAAGGAGAATGTTTTTGCCTAATTGGACTTCATCAAATACTAAATAATTGTCAAATACTAACTGGGCATCCTTGTAACAACCCAGTACACAGTGTCTTGAGCTCATGAGGTCAGTCTTTTGGAGTTCTACAATTTCTATCAGTTTCTTCAGCCTCCCAGTTCTACTCTACTGACCTTGTGGGATAGCAGAAACCTCTCTGCTATGCCTAAGTGCTTCCTGATGCAGAAGGGGAGTAATCCCTGGCCAGCTGCCTCTTTTCACCTTAGAAGGATCTGGGTGTATAATAAGCTGACAGCTCTCAGATCTTTAGAAACTCCTGAGTGCAAAGTAGTCACTGAGATCTTGTTGGGTCAGGGGGAACTTCTTACATTTGTTAGAAGAAATGGTCTTCTGGCCCCTAAAATACTCATTATCTCTTTCTCAGATGGAACATTTCTCTTTCTAAGACTCACAGGGTTCAAGCACTGGCAGGAAAAAACAGGTGTTGTTTACGTCCTCAACTAAACAATAGCCACCCAGGTCAGAGCCTCTGGGCTTATAGTCACCAAGTACGGCTTACATCACAGTGCTCCCAAGGAAATGGCTTCTTAGTTCAGGTTCAACATCTGCATTTTCTACTCCTGGCCATCTTGGTAGTGCCAGTGCAGCTCTCCCTGCCTTGGTCAACTAAACAATAGCCACCCAGGTCAGAGCCTCTGGGCTTATAGTCACCAAGTACGGCTTAACATCACAGTGCTCCCAAGGAAATGGCTTCTTAGTTCAGGTTCAACATCTGCATTTTCTACTCCTGGCCATCTTGGTAGTGCTAGTGCAGCTCTCCCTGCCTTGGTGGCCTATGACAAGAAAAGCTAGTCGCCTTCTATTGCTCTGAAATAGACCCTGATGGTCCCAGACCAAACCAGATTCCCAGCTCAGTGCAGGTTTGAACTAACTAGGGCTGATTAGGGAGTTTTTCAGTTCAGAGCTAGCTCCAGAAGCCCAAAGGTCTTTTTAAAAAAGGTGTCAGTAACCTCTCAAAAGTGTGTTGCATCTTCGTCGGCTCCTCCATGGCTTGGCTATTTGTACCCCAGCAGCCTGCCTGGCAGAGCCCGTCTTAGCACAGGCACAGTAGGGATTCTCCAGAAGTATGAACCCTGGAATCTGGGTTATGAATGAGTAGGACCGGGTGGGGGTTGGGGGCAAAAGCAGGGCACCTGCTATCCACTTAGACTCCCCATCTCCTCACCATTGGTACATTTACCACAGATCTCAAATTCTGCTTTCAGAAGCTCCTCGTAGTCCTAGCTATATTTTGATTGTTCCTATGCTAAAATACTAAATTTGTATAATGTATTAAATGTTATAAAGCACTTTATCTTTCAACAACTCCATTAAGTAGTGCAGGCAAGAGGTTACATAATTTGCCTAAAGTCATGTGGTTGGTTGTTAATGGCAAAGCCAAGGATGGAATCCAAGCCTCTTGTTTCATGGTGCTACTGATCGTGGAGTTGGATTCATGGGAATGGAACAATGGGCCAGGATGGATTAAGTCAACAGCCTGCACCTGCCTTAGATTTAAGTCCCAATTGCCCAAGAAACTATTGTGAAATAACATGAAATTAAGAGCCCCTGTCCTTTGTTCCAGAGCTCTTGATGTTCCTTTGATGTCTCTTTATTTTACCCAGTATTCCTCCCCAACATCCCCATTTGCACGTGCAGCATGAGGAATATGGACCTTGGAGTGTGTTATGGGTCACTGATAAAACAGAAACCATAAGGCCCTGGTGGCAGGATGTTGCAAGCACTCCTCTGCCCACTTTCTCTGGAACCTCAGTCCCATTCCACAGGGCACCTGACACTGTTCCAAAGCCTGTCCCTTAACAAGGACAGCTATGACTGCCAGATCTTACAAAGTATGGCCAGCTTAGCTGTCAGTAGTCATTTCAATGCAAGCTTAGCTTAGCCAACAACTAAGCCCTAAGCTTGCTGGGGAAGAAGAGAGGAAAATGCTGTAACATCAGAGGAGAGCAAGTCAGAAGCCACGTTATATTGTGACTTGTTGGTACTGTCAGTAAACAAGATAATGGGTAGGTATGCATTTCTAGCAGAATGCCTGGCAAATACAATTGCTCAGTAAATATTAGTCTTCTGCTCCCTCAACAGAACACCTCACCTATAAGGTCATCATTCCATACCAGGTTAGTCTTATGCAAGAAATTCAGTTTTCACTACTCCAGAAGCCACCATCCACCCCGCCCCTTCATCAAACTTCTTATTCTGGGATGGGTTGGTACCATGGGAAGGATCTGGGCTAAGTGGCACAGCAAAACAGAGTGTCTTTTTTTTTTACCTTGGAGGTGCTCCAGCTGATCCCCTTGACCAGAGGTAATTCCCAGTGGGATGGGGGGCCCAGGAGTCAGGACCCTACCCTGGAGCCGGGGCCCCATCCTCAGGATGCGCACACTTAGGGGCCGAAAGCAATGATTAGTCAACCGGAGCTGTACACGGACTCTGGTGTGAATCTTAATCAGACTCTTCCCCATGGTGGCCCAGGAAGGCAGATGCTTCTTCAGTGGAAACCAGCTGATCTCCTCAGGGAAACCAGCCAGGCAGGGGAGATACAGAGAGGAAAAGGACAGAAAGCCAACTAGGGACAAAGGATTTTCTCTGATCCCACACCGTGGCAGCCCTTAGCAGTGTCGCTGGTGCTGGAGAGAGAAGGTCGCTCCCCAAGCCTCAGATCAGGCTGAACTGCAAGGAAGGAAGAGCTCTGGGAGGCCGACGTTATCAGGAGACTGGATTTCGTCAGAAGCACTTAGAGCCATAAAAAGCAATGCTTCCCCAGCCTGTAGCTCTTTCCCTGAGGCCCATATAAGGGCCCCAGCCTCTCAGAGGGTGAGGGACAGAGATGGTAGGGAACAATCCCAGAGGGTAGGGGAAGCAAGACTGTCCCAGAAAAACCAGGATGTAAAGCTACAAAGACATTGGGCTTTATCCAGGCCACATACAGTACAGGCCTGCCCAGGTGCCAACAAAGTCAACACCAGCTTTGGGCTAGGTGGCTCTGAAGAACAAGGTGGTTCTGGGGCTGGAAATGGGCGTGTCCCATCCTCCACTGGGCTCTATCAGCCCCCTGCTGCTGAGTGGCACCCCATGGGGCACAATGAGTGAAAAAAAAAAAAGATAGAACTGAGAGTCCTCTCTGGGTCAGGCTTACATTAATTGCACGTGTTATCTTGGCATTCCTAAGTATCTAAGAGCAGAGGTTAGGGCTACCCAATTCATAGTCATTTTCTCCTTTTTGTCTTTTTTTTTTTTTTTACTGACCGGTAACGGGATTGCAACCCTCGGTGTCGCGCCCGTACCGGGGACCGGCAATGGGATCGCAACCCTTGGTGTTGCGCCCGCACCGCGCTCAGCCAGTGAGCGGGAACCGGTCTCCACATGGGATCCGAACCCTTGGCGGGAGCCCCGCCGTGCTCCCAAGCGGCGCACTCTCCAGTGCACCACCGGGCTGGCCCATTCATAGTCATTTTTTAAAGGGTCCCAGTTCACTGGGATTACATGATTTTATTCAAACTAGTATTATGTTAATGTTTTTACAATTTTTTCCCCATTATTTTTGGAGATAGCAAATAAACCTTCTCTGGAAAAGTCAAATGGTTTCTGTGATACTACTGATTTATAGGCCATAAGGACTATAGGAAAGCAATCTTTGATGGAGCATGAACCACTTTCAAATGTCCATAAATTGTAAAAGCTGTGTTTGTTAGGACTTTTAAAGGCAACATTCCTCTTGAGAGATGGTGCATCTGAAATATTGCCTCCTGGAAAATAATCCATTCTTTATTTCCATAGACGTGGTAGCCCCTAGGATAAAACCATTTAATTGCTAAAATCTTTTATTTTTTCCACATTCAAACCAGATTTCCACCCCCCTCTCATCACTGTGAGCCTGTGAGGTTCATTCCTGTGGGGTCAGTTCTTAATTTCTTTTACCTACCGCCTCCTGAGTCTAATGGGTCCTGGGCTGAGGGCCATGACTGGGATCATAGACTGTGTTGCCTGCTGAGCCTTGGGCACAGGGTGTGAGGAGCAGATTGACTTGGTGAATAGCATGTGGGTGCCAGCTGAGCCATAATCTGCCAAGTGTGAAATTCTATGAGGCTGAGACTTTGAGGAAGTGCCGTGGCTCTCGGGAGTCTATGCTCCTCAGCAGCATCTCCCCATACCCTCCTCTGGCATTTTGCAAGCAACAGTGAATAGTTTGGACAAGGAACATGCTGCTGCAATGGGACAAGATAGGTTCTGGGAGGAGGCTGGAAGTAAAGCCAGAGCTGGGTCGGGAACTAAGGCAGCCTCACAGCTTGTCTTGGGTGAACATGAGGAATGTTCTTCCCACTTCTGAGTTGTTCTGCTAACCCTACTTGAAAGCTATTCTAACACAGACAGCCTCATCCTTCCCTCTTCTGGGAATGCTGGTTTTGTTAGACATTCTTCCCGATTCTGGGAAGTAGACATGCATGAGGTTCCTCTCCTATTTTATACCCTGCTTTAGTGCCAGCTTCCCCAGGGGTTAGCCTTTTCTTTGGAGGACAGCTGTCCCAACTTTCTGTAGAAGCCTGGGAATGAACCTACTGTCTTCTGCCTCAGGGTGACTGGGAAAAAGGGACACAGAGAGGGGAGAGTTATGTTTCCTCAAAAGAGGATAAGAAATTCATTCTACTTTTCTGAGATGTACACCCCAAAGGAAGAGGGGCAGTGGAGAGCCATGCTCACTTCTCTAGCTCAGCCTAAGGTGGGAGGAAAAACCAGTACGCTATGTCTGATGATAGTCAGATCTCAGTAATTTCACACCCTGCATAGCGATATTCTTGGCATCTCACAAGGCACACTCCCATACCCACACTCCATTCCTTGATGGGGGCAGGAGGCTCAGATAGGTTAAGCATCCTGCCCCAGAAAGTGTGTGGCGGAGCTCCTACTCAACCTCATCTTTGACTTCCTGGCCAGGAGTCAAAGATGCATTGTGCTTGCTGCCTACCTAGTAAACGCTTTGATCTCTTTAAAGTACTTCTGCATATGTTAGCCTCCTTGCAACACATGGGGTGGGCAAGGAAGGTGTCCGTCCCTGTTTTACAAATGCAGCAGCTAAGATACTCAAATAATTAAGTAACTTGATGGTGGTTGTCTAGCCAGGATTCTCAACCCCTAGACTGGAGTTATATACCATATGCAGGTGATACAGAGTCTTACTCTCAGTGACACATCCTAAAATCCTAAACACAAACCAGAGATCCTTCCAGGGAAACAGCAGAGCAAAAGTCTTTCCTACCCTGAGCAATTCTTTATTAACAAGCAGTATTCCCTTGGAAAGGGCAAGGGGCCTTTCCTCCCCAGCTTCTACCTCATTAATCCCAGGAGAGAGACAGGTTTGAAGCAATCCTGCTGCTGTGTCCTGCTGTTTGAGATCTTCTGAGGTCTTACAAAAACATCACCTTCAGGAATAAAAGCATTCAACTTTACACCCATATCCAGACTGTGGGTGAGCTGGGTCAGTGACAATAGCTAGAGGGCAATATTCTGAGAGTGTGTGCTAACAGTCCTAACTACCTAGAGAACAGAGAGAATGGAGAGGTTATTGGCCTCAGCTATTGGGGCATCTAGTTCAGTGAAGACACAAAGAATTTCTCTCTCTACCCATTTCTGCCTCCTCCAAAGGGAGGGAAGGGTAGAGAGAGATGAAGTGTAATGAATTTCCTGAGCCAGTGGTAAGGAATTCAAATAGCAACAGGACAGATTTCTACAACTGAAGTAGAAGGTGGTGGCAGCTACTGGAATGCCTCAGAACCAGGAGTTTTCATTTCTTGGTTATCTACCTCAGCCATCTGATCATTTAATCTATGGAGATTGGTCAGATCTAGAAAACAAGTGAAAAGCCACTTGATGGAAAGCAATTTCAGAACTGTGTGGAACCTGCTAGATCTCACATACACAAATCTCCCTCAGGACTCATCCAAAACCTCTGATCTACACACCCCCCCCCCCCCCCCCCCCCCCCCCCCCGTCCTGGACTACAGCACGGCAGGCCTGGGTGGGATGTCCCCCACTTTACCCCCTGCTGGTGTTCCCATCCACTGGATAAAACCTTCCATGTGCCCCTGGAGGCTCTTTCTCCTGAGGAACTGGCTGCTATCTCTAAAGCAAATTAGCCTCTCTACAAGGTCCCTGAGGAGGAACTTGCCATGTCACAACTTGGAGGAACCCAGCAGTCATCTCCAGGAGCTCATGCTCACCTTCCATGATGGAGATGTGAACAGCTCTTCTGCGGGTCCTGGGGACACTGCTCAGCCTTGGGCCGTGGGTTATGGAGGGACAGCTCCGGCTGGGAACCATCCCTGCTCTGAGGTTAAAGAAAAAGAGAACCTTGTTAATTCAGTGCACAGGCAAATGTGGTGGGGACTTGGAGTTCAATACTGGCTATTAGGATTGCCTGGCTATATTAATTTAAGTTTTGGTGCTTTTTTTTTTTTTAAATCTTTAATACCTTCTCTTTGCCTGTGGTCCCTGGATCACTGCTTCAAACTCCTCCACCTCCTTATATCCCAGAGACACTTGAACCTTTCTTTAGTGTGGCAACAGTGCCACTGGTCTCCAGGGGCAGGACTGTCAGGAAGTAGAGCCCTAGGAAGAGCAATACTCCTGAAAATGTTCCTGAAAACCGAAACTGGCAGGTTCCCCTCACTTACAGTAGAAGCTGCTGATGACGGGGGCCGCCATGTGAAGGGGCAGGCAGTAATGCTCTCATTCCCAGAGGCGTAGTCTGGTTGGCAAATCCTAGCCTTCTTGGCCAAGCATATTCTTTCTGACTGTTACCAGATTCTAGGAAATTGCCTTCTGGAAATGCATGATTTATGTATATACATGAAGCATGGATCCCAAAACTATTTTAGACCCAGCGTGGCAGGACTGTGGGGCTATCGCTGGTTTCCTCTAATGGACTGATTCTGGAACCAATGAAATATTGCTACTTGGACTCATATTCCATGGTCTATGATTAATGTCAAGACTTGGGAGGGCAGAAGAGAATTACCGAGTGAGGTGGCACCTGGGTCTGATGTACTATCTGCAAGCAGCCCTTCCTCCTTCCCTCCTCCATAAAGGTTCAAAGATTTCTCCCCCTATCTTCAGCTGAGACAGGTTTCTTCACTTTCCTGTCCTATTCCGCCCCTTCTGGTAACCATTGTGGCCAAGAGCTTCATAATATTCAAATTGCTAGGTCATTTGATATTCTGGGATCCGAGCTGTAACTGGTTTTGGAGGAAGCCCGGCAGCCTACCTGTGTATTTCTGGTGGCTCTCGTTTGATCTTGGCACTTGACTCCATTACTTCCTTTGCGACTCGGCCACTGTAAGTAGTGTAATAAAAACAAGCAACAAGAAATGAGACAGTGTTCCAGGACTGGGCACCTCTCCCACATCTCAGGTGCTTTAGCTGAGTTGGGAAATGGCCTCTTTTCCCCAATGTTTTGGTAACTAAGAAAGGCTTGCTTGCTGGCCTTTAGAAATTAAAGAGTTCCAAAACATCCTGACAGCCTGTCTGAGAGAGCTCTCTCCATCTCTGGAGTCTTTAGGATCTTCCATTCTCATTTAGGAATGATTCCTCATTGTCCAGCCTGTTCCAATAACATTGCCAAAAACAACACTTTAGACAGTGAGACATGAAAAGAATCACTGTTAAAGTTCTTATTTTGCTGCTGTTGGAAGGAGGAGAAGATACACATATTTTAAACCCTACAGACAAACAGCTATAGGAAAGGAAAGAAATAGTAAAAGGGTTAGGAGACAGGAGAATAGGATGGAAACCTTAGGCTTTTCTGACAGTCCCCCAGTTTCTTTGTTTTCAAGGATAAGGACTACCAAGTGACTGTTTTCTAGAGAAGGGTCTGAAAATAGATCCATAATGGTTACTTACTGTCACTATTTACCTGTATCGGAACCGGCTCCCTTTAAAGAATAAATTGCTGCTGGACACTGTGCGGACTTGGCTTGACTTCTCCAGCCTGCAGCAAGGCAAAGTCTAGTGTGACAAATGGCCTGAAACTGCCTCACACAGGCTACAGCAGTGCGTTCTCAGCTCCTTCCAAAGGCTACTTGAGGAAACTCGATTTAGGAAAAGCCCTCCATAGCCCATGCTTGTCTCTGACTGTCCTTTAGGATCTGAGGGCTAAGCTTATGGTGACCTGCCCTCCTGCCTCAGTGCCTGGGACAATCACATGGAAACCCATTTTAACATCAGGCGAGTGAAGGCTCCCCAAGAATGCTCCATGGGGTTCATGAGGAGGACGGGGAGAAGAAATGTTAGGGATGAAGGTCTGGGGTAGTAATAGAATGCCACTCATCTAATCTCAACCAGGTCATTTATTAGCAGTAGGACCTTGGGCACGTTTCTTTCCCTCTCTTAGCCTCAATCTTCTTACCTATAAAATGATGGAGCTGTGACTACTGGACCTCAGGTATCCCTTCCAGTCCTAGTATTTGATGCTTCATGTCTATGTCTGGGTAACTGTGGGTGGAGAAGAGGGTAGGGGCTGCCCTTCCTGTCCCATCTCCCTCTTGGAGAGTCCTACAATATGTTATCAGAGTAAAGACTGAGAAGTCCTGCAGTGAAGAAACTAGCTTAATGTAAATAAAAAGTTCCATCATTTATTTGAACTTGGAACCATCCTTCCTCCCCCAGAGTGCCTATTTAACATCACTTTCAAGGCTGCAGACAGCTGATGTGGAGACTCTGGAAGGCCATGGGCACTGTAAAACATCCTCCTGGGTGACTTTGCTGACATTTAGAAAAGTGAGCTTGGGCAGAGTGCCTGGAGAGAAGTCTCCCAAGACCCAACTCACTTGCAACACACCCAGGGTGACACAGTACTAATCCAGCCAGGAACCCATCCGGGACTGAGGCCTTTGCCATGAGCAGGCAGGGAGAATTTAGGGATCTATCCTCACAATCCACAAGCAGTTCCTGAGAGACACCATCCCTACATGTCTCAGGGCTCCACGAGATCTCAGACCCTTCTGCCTAAGCATGTTCTCAAGTCTGACCCAGCTCCCTTCAAGGCACTAGGCCAAAGGCGTGACTGGTGATCTGTATGTGAGAGATGCTGAGAGCAAGGCCAAAGTGGCTGCTGCCAGAGACTTGGCATAACTGGGTATCTGACCCAGACTAGAGGCTTTAACACTTAGAACATTAAAAAGTCAATGGAAAACAGTGAAAAGTGACCTCAGTCTCCAGTGTGCATGCTGGCAGGGCTGGGTTGGTGTGGAAAGACTCAGAAACTGAGTTTGGTCACAGGTTCAGAAGCACACTTCTGTTCCCATGACACAGATGAAGGAACAAAGGCCTAAAGAAATGGTGCTGGAGGCATGGAAAGATGAGAGAAAAGGAAATCACTTTTGTTTGTGTTAGGTACTTTGGTGGAGAGAAAGAGAACGCTTCCAAGTACACCATCCCCAGGACAGTGATAGCTCAAGTGTGGAGAAGCCCCTGTCTGCCAGTGCCTTCCTTTCTATTGGGGAGGACCAGGGAATCCAGTCCTTCCTGGGCTACTCCTTGATCCCACAGCAGAAGTTTGCATCTCAAATTGCTTATCTCCAGGTTCATATAACTGGCAAAACCTGGGGTCTGTCCTCACAGGCAAAGGGAAGGTGGTAGCAAAAGAAAAGAAATGTTTTCCTGGCTTTCCCTGGACAGCAGGGACTGAATGGGAGGGAACTTTACAACACTTTTTGAGTGTCTTCCTCAGGAGAAGAAAGAAGCTCACTCAGGTTAGAATTCAAGCTGACCATTCAGTTCATCCCTGATTCCGGTATCAAATGTACAGTGAATATTAAGCAATTCAGAAAGCTTCCTAAGAAACAGGCTCTGGGCTGTGGCCCTGGTAACTGGGATGAGAGCAATTCTGCCAGCTGGCATACCATAGCAGCCAGCAGGTAGCAGAGAGTCTGATTACAGGGAGGAGGATGGTGCCCACTCAGCCCACAGAAATTCTCATCTCTTCAGGATCTTTCAGGTTACTGGAGGGAGGACCTGGCCTGTCAGGGACATTTGGTGATAGCAGGCTCACCCCAGGTGGAATATACTACACACTCTGTCTTGCCTTGTCCTGACTAAGATACATCTTAGTAAAGCATAAATCATACCATTACATTTTTTTTTTTTTTTGGTGGCTGGCTGGTACAGGGATAAAACCCTGGATCTTGGTGTTATCAGCACCATGCTCTAACCAGCTGGGCTAACTGGCCAGCCCACATTCCATTTTTAAAACAAGACTGAGGAGTTTAATGAAACATACTTTACCTGGTATCATCCCTGTTTCTCAATGGGCCACTTCTTTGCTCCCTAATGCTTTTATAACCACTTTCTGAATCAAAGAAAACAACACAAAAGCCTCACATACTTTACAAAATGCTTTGGTAAGCAAAGTTTTTGCCTTTGGCCCAAACCTGGCTTCTTAGTAACAGTCAAGCCCTTGCCCACCTCCAGCCACTCCATCCCAGGTTCCTGAGCACTTGGCCTGTCATTGGCACCACCTTTGGCAGTGATACACCAGGAGGGGCTGCCATCAACCTCAGCTTAGCACCAGGTCACCCACCAGGAAGCAGACCCCAAAGTCTCTCTATGGTTGAGGGCTGGGGCCTGGGGCCAGGGAGCTAGCTGTTCTCGTTTGTGCTTGGTCCTTTATGGAGCTGTTGTGCCCTATGCCTCCCAGGGCTCTGAATGGCTCCACAGGGACAGGTTAATTGAAGTTAGGCACCCACTGGCATTTTCTGGCCCAAACCTTATCCCCAAAAAACCCAGAACTGCTCTGCCACGGGGGTCTGTCCAAGGACATCTCAAGGTAGAACCTTTGGGCAACTCAGCTGAAACACATTCCCGGACCTTGAATCTCCAGAGGGTACAGAGACCTAGAAAGGGGTGAGTTTTATTAGGAAGCTTAGCCTTGTCACCTCATATCTCCTCTCTCAAAGTTTCTCCAAATTTTCCTGCCCGTCATTCCTCTAAAAGTAGCCTTTGTGACTTTGGTTCTGATAAAGATGGTCCCTACCACATATGTCCACTCACTTGTAGAAGGCTTGGTTCTCAATTCCACATTTCCAGAGGTGCTTGCAGGCTTCTGGAGTTGGAGCAAAATATGTGAGAATAATTTTCTTTTCCTGCAAAGAATTGCACATAGAAATGGCTGAGTGAGGATGGAGAAGTGTAGGGTGAAGCAGCCCAGGGCACTGACACCCAAGCTATTGGAGGGCCCCTGGCAGCTGGCTAGTTGGAATGGAAGGCCTACAGGACCCACTGGGAAAGAGCTCATTTCAGTGTATCACCTCACACCTAGCAAGCCAGATCAGAGAAAGTCTAGTGGGCACAAGTTGAACCAGGAGAGCCCTTGGTGAGAAAATGGCACTCACATCTGGAGTTTCCATGTGAAAGAAGAATCTTACTTTGACTCCATTTCCTGGAGGTAGGGATCTCAAGAAGAACCTCTGGGTGTCATCCACATCCCTGAGGAAGTCCTGTGCTCCAGGGCTTTCCCACCCCTCCATACCTCACCTCCAGGTCTTGACCTTGGTCTTGGATTAGCATACAGGTGGCTTAACTCTACCTGGACCCCTTAGAATCAGCTCTGGCCATCAGGAACTGGCCCATTTCCCCAGCCCTCCATGATGAGAAGGAAGCCAGCACTCACCTCTTTCTGACTTACATATAAATAGAAAGTCTTTCCTTCAAATTTCAGTTTGGTCACCTCATTCCTGGAAGCACAAAGAGAGTACCTGTCACCTTGCTGTGGGTTGCTTGTTCACAGCTACGTCTTGTAGATGCATAGCCCACCCCCACTGGAAGGTGCTCAGACACAATTTTAGCCAAAATTAGAACTGAAACAAGACAGCAGCGCAGTGGCCTTAGAGAACAGTTGTTGGAATAGTTCACAGTTTTCTGGTCAATCATACTAATAGGGTGATAGGAGCATTTCGGGCTCATCAACAGTGGCTGTAAAAGGGAAACATTTGCATGGAAAGTGAGTCTGGGTAAAGTGTCTGGGGTCATTTCAGGATTTGGTTCATAACACAGGTGCATTATCTGGATGGGACTGTCAAACGTAAGATGCCACAGGTAGCTGATGAGGCCAAAGTTCAAGATACAGCAAATAATGAAAAACAATGCAACCAGGTTCTGAGGGAGTTGAGTCTTTCAGGTGACTGTGCCACTGGATGGAAAATGCAGTTTAATGCAGACAGATGTCAAACAATCTCAGGGAGGGGGGTGGGGCAACATACCAAAGAGAGAGAACAGATTACATGGAACAGTCATGCAGCGTACTGACCAGGAAAGGGGCTTAGGGGGTATTGTAGAAAAATCCTTGAAGCCACCAGCCCAGTGAATGGCTGCAGTAAAAGAGGCAAACAGGATACTGGGGTACGTCACCCGCGGGACAGACACAAATCAGAAGAAGTGACATGGTTACTGTACATGGCATGGCCTAGACCTCACCTCCTCAACCTGCTCTCAGCCTTGGTTACATTACAAAATGGAAATATTACCAGGGTCTTAGGTGGATGTCCCTGAGAGCCAGAGAACCAGGCCTCACTTCACTTCTATCTGTCCAACACAACTGCCCTCTGGAACTCAAGGCCCTCTCCACCTTGCTGCAGTCCTTATTTTTCTACCCAACTGGGACCCCCAAGGAGGTCTGATCGTGTACATCTGCCTCCACTTGGCTTCTTCCACTTTATAATTTCTAGGGAAATTTCCTGAATATCCTAAGAAGGAGCACAAAGGTAGTGAGAACCATGTATACAATTTACTGATGTACAAAATTCAGTGGACAGAGGAACATCACTTGTTCTCTGTGGTCCCAGAAATCATGGCTAGAACAGGATGAAAGTTCACAACTTCTGACTATTGGTTCTGAGTAAATACAAACCACATGGTATTCCTTCAGTGTTTGATTCCCTCTCATTCTCCCTCTCAATCAATCAATCTCATACACACACAGAATAAATACCAACAGGTTAATATATAAACAAGCACACAGTTCATCTAGGCTCCAACAAGCAAGATAGGAAAGTAAGGAGTTTTCTTTTGAAAGTGAGATTAGGTTTTCATCTATTATCGTAAGGTGGGGACATAGTGAAGAGGAGACTTCCTGAAGAAGTGGCACCTGAGAGAAGCCATAGAGAGGAAAGGGTCTAGGAGAACTGGGGAGCATCATGGCTTCTGGAGGGGTAGGGGTAATTGAGGGACTGCATTATCTGTAACAGGCACGTCCCACTTGCTTCTAGCTAAACATGTACCCTACTAGGGACCACATGACACAGCTACCCCAGTCAGAATATGGTCCAGGATCTGGGCCCTCTAAGGAACATCGAACAGCCCAGATGTATCCAAGCAGCAAATGCTCCTCATTTAGGAAAGCTGTGGCCTGATACTGCTCATTGTCTTCTCCTGAAAAGTATTTTGTTGGACAGGAGACCCCAAACCTTTATATCTTCACATGGAGAGCACAGTGAAGCAGGCCAACTCGAGGAAGCCTAGGAAACATGTGTGTTGGGGTGTGTTCTGATAACTCCAGGGCTGCCTTGTGAAGTGGCTGTTGTCCTGAGGAGCAGCACCTGGCTCTGCATGCCGGAGGAGCAGTTACACTCGCGCTCTGGTTGATCATCATGTCGCCATTCTTTACAAAAGCAATATGGGTTGGAAAGGTGGTGTCTGACCACAAGCTCAGCAGGGGAGTTGAAGAGGGCATAGGACCTGCAGCGGCCCCAGAGGAAAGCTTACTAGGAAGCAACTCTGTACTCAGATTCTTCATTAGTTCTTCTGGAGAAGGCAAAGGAACCCAGACACAAAGCAGGCTTCCCCCGCTGAGCTCTGCTGGACCAAAGGAAGCCACTTATCTAAGTCTATTGGAAGAGGTGGCCAGTTTAGACAAGACAGTCTGAGGCCTGTGAAGGTACAGAAACCACAGGGGCTTAGTGGACTATGCAAAATGTTCTGATGAGGCTGACAAATGTTTGCATGGGTCAGCAAAAGGGTCTCCAGGATAACCTAATGTTGATCAACAAACCAGAGTTTGTGCTGCATCAGCTCCCAGAGCCATGCAGCTAAACAGATCCCAAACAAAAAACGGGGCAGGAGAGGAAGCAGTTCAGAGTAGCTGCAGCCTAGAAGTGGGAGGGGAGAAGGGAGGGAAGGAAGAAAGAATGGGGATGTGATTCCTTGAGGCTGAAGACACTTAAGCCCTAAAGAGAGATAGGAGTGAGACAGAGGAGCACCTAAGCTCTTGCAGAGAAAATGCCCACAGTGGTGGTTGGTCTGAGGAGGTTTTTTTTTGCCAGAGCAACAGGATGACTTAGGAATCACTGTCTGTGCCTCCCTCATTAGCAGAGTGGGCAAGGGAGTTGGGCCTTCCACAGAGATACTCCAGAACAGCTGGCTCAGCAGGGCTGGCTATGGCTTTCAGTGGGTGACTGCCCCTAAGGACTCAGTTTTTATGGGAACTTTGCTTCCCTAACATTGGCTCTAGTCCAGGCCTTATATCCTCCCCAGAAATCAAACCTCCACAACCTTTCTCTCTCTGGAGAGGCTGTTGGCTCTCAGGGACACCCCTTTGGAAGAACAGGATCCCTAGGAAGAGACCACTACCTTTTTCAGTTACCATTACCAACACAAGGCTTTCAAGAGGGCTCCAAACCATAACTGCCCAATCACAGACAAAACATGGGAACCATAGCCCCTCCCCAGTTGATGAGGTATAAAGAGCCTGTTTTGGAAATGAAGACACTCACCATTTAATGAAGTGGACCCTCTTGTTTCCTTGCAGAACAACAAACCCAAAAGGAGTGAAGGCCAGAAATGCAGCATTTCCTGACACGTCCTGCAACACAGAAAAACTTCTCACTAGGGTGATGCAGGCAGAGGTGAAAGGGTGAAAAACACAGTTGTTCATAGGTGATGCAGGATTAAAACTTGACAGTAGGTCACAGAGGGAAGAGTATGGCATTTGGAATCACAAGACTGTGATTAAAGTCCCAGCCTTGCCACTTGCCAGGGGCATGACTTAGGCAAGTTACTTATTGAGCCTCAGTGCCCTTTTCTGTGAGTTGTAAATTATAATGACAACAATGACCTTAGAAGGTTGTTGTGAACATCCACAGTGAATGGCAAAACCTCATGCCTTACTGAGGGGTGCAGCAATAAAGTGGTGCAGTCACTTTGGAAAACAATTTGGAAGTTCCTCAAGTTGTTAAACATAAAGTTAGCATATGACCTGGAAATTCTACTCCTAGGTATGTACCCAAGAGAACTGAAAACATATGTCCACACAGAAACTAGTACATGGATGTTAATAGTAGTGCTGTTCATAATAGCCAAACAATGAAGACAATCCAATCCATTTTCCAGTGGAAAATGTCTATCGATTGACAAATGAACAAGCAAGTGGTATATTATGGTACAAGGGAATATTATTCGGCAGTAAAAGAGATGAAGTACTAATACATGCTACAACATGGCTGAACCTTGAATACATTATGCCAAGTCAAAGAAGCAAGTTAGAAAAGATCATATATTATATGATATCATTTATATGAAATGTCCAAAATAGGCAAATTCATGGAGACAAAAAGATTACTGGTTGCCAGGGGCTGGGGGGGAGATAAGATGGGGAGAGACTGCTAAATGGGTACAGGGTCTCTTTTTGGGGGGTTATGAAAATATTTTAAAATTAGTGATGACAGTTGCATAACTGTGAATATACTAAATACCACTGAATTACACATGTTGAAAGGCTGAATTTTACAATATGTGAATTATATCTTGAAAAGCTGTTATTAAAGAGAGAGAGAGGCAGTTATCATTATCATGATGGTCCTAACACACAGGGATTCCTCAGGAAAGTTTAGCTGAAGAAAAGACAAGAAATAATTGGCCGAGCAGAACAGTTGCCACCAGCCCTGAGGTGCTTGAACCAATAGAGAGGGGCTCCTGGTCATCTGTCACCATCAGTTTGTAAACACCAGGCTTGAGGTTTTACTGAGCACAGTGAGAAGCTGTAGGCCACTGTTCATGAGGACCAGCAGTCGAAGGGTTATACTCAGAGGAGCTTCCTTTGTGATAGGAGCACTGAGTGAGCATAAACACTGATGGAGGAGGGTATGAGTGTGTGGAGGTGGCCACAAAACTACGCAATGATGCTGGTCACATGTGTCTGCAGGAGAGTCTTCTGGGCCACAGCTAGGGTAGTGCCATGGAGTCAGGGCCGGACACCTGGTGTGAGGCATGCTGGGGGGATCCATGGCTGTTGGGCCAGATCAGCCTGAGGTTTAGCTCTCCTTGTCTCTCCATCTCAGGGTTTGCCTCCATGGCACAGATTTTTAGCCTGATTGGTCCTAAGGACAGTGGGGCCTCTGCAGTGCCTCATGAGCCTTGTCTCAAGGAAAAATGCAGTTTCATTTTAAAACTGCCTCTTAGAGTTGGGGTTACAAGTGAGAGCATCTGGGCCTAGGGAATAAACTAAGTATATGTTTTGCAAATATTTCCAACTAACGTATTGTTATTATTGTCCTTTCCTCAGGGTCTGTCATGATCCAGACACTTGGCTGTAAGCACAATGTCATTCAACCCATGGGCACAGCAAAAAGCTGTTTAAAAATAACTGGAATGGAGACACTGCAAAGCCACAGGGCTGGATTTCCTCCTGCCTGTCATCTCTGCTTGGTGGTGGTTATTTATATCTGAGCACCAGGCACTGCACACAAACACCATTCTTGGCAGAGGCACTAGGGCTAACCTGGCAGACTTGTCAGAGATATGGGTCAGGGCAGGGTGGCCTTTGGGGGAAGAATACCTGGGAGAGGCAGGTGAGGGAGGTAATCTGCCTCAGACAGAGGGTGGGCACCAGGAGGCCTTCTGCTCACTGTGCAGGCAGGACCCAAGGAAGTCCTAAAACCATAGGCTTAGACAGACAGAGACTCGAGCGTAGAGACCCATTGTATTGGTACTGGTGTAGAACACAGCCGCAGTGAATATTTATCAGATGAAGGTGTAAGACAATCAGGTGGGTCAGAGGGGACAGTGTGGCTGCTGTGGAGGAAGTACACAAGTGCAAAAACGAGGGGAAGGCGTAGGTGGGGCTGAGGCAGGTAGGGTGTCTTGTAATGCTCTCTGAGGCAGAGGAAAAGCAGGAGGGATGGAAAATAAGGGTCAGGCCTGCAGGAGGGGAGCAGACAGCTTGAAATAATGAGTGAAGTAAGGGATGGAGGTGGGGGGTGGGCAGGGGGCTTAGCAGAGGAGAGAGGCTGGGGGCGGGGAGGGGAGAGCCTCCCTCTGCTTATTCCACCCTGGCTCACATGGGCAGCGATGGGGCAGAAGAGCCCCCATGTCAAAACTACAGCTCCATGGGCTCTGGGTCTGACTGCCCAGGTCCAGATTGGGCTTTGCCACTCCTGTGTGACTGTAGCCAGGTCCCTCAATTTCTCCGTGTTTCGGACTCTTTGTAATAAAATCCGGGTTCATAATATTACCTACCTCATAAGCTGTGCTTAGTAGGCACCCATAAATGCTAGTGGCTGTGCTGTTGTCAATATTATTGTAGCTGCTACTGATTAGCTGAATCAGTTGAACTTAATACAAATCCGTTTTAAAAAGCCTAACATTTTACTGTTTTGCCTGATGTTGATGGATTTAAGGTTTGCTAGTTAGGAAATGAGGGTGTGAGAAGTTAGAATAAAGAAGTCATTCATTGTGAGGGGACCGTGGAGGAGGAGGATTTGGGTAATCCATGAATCTGAAGTGAGTGGAAAGGGAAGGGGTCAGAGGCCATGACACAGTTAGAGACCCACTAGAGTCATCTCAGTGACTGGTGTCCCTGTGGCCATGGCAAAGGGAAGAGAAGGTCCTTCCATGAGGTAGGAAGTGTCGGCCGGGTTGCCCTGGTTGGCACTGTTCACCTGTAGTGTCCAGACCCCTCGGGGCTGGCCTCTGAGTGAAGGCAGGGAACAGCCTCTCCTGACCAGTCTGGCTGATGTGGGAACCCTGAGGAGAGGCCACATCATCCCACCTTGAACAATCCCAATCCAGTCTCCCATATGAAGAGAACAAGTCTCCCAACTGCTTCGAATGCAACAGATGCAGCTGAAGACCACTGCAATACTCCGGCCCTCGAGAGTCCACAGGGCGGAGGACAGCTGGAATGTTTGCTATTGGTCTCTGGCACATGAGGCTCCGCAGCCAGTGAGGAGCAGGACTTGAATTACAGCAAGAAAACTCACATCTGTACTGGCATGAAAACACAAGCGGGCAGCCACACTGACACCTCTCTGGAATTTCCCGTTTCTTCTATCTAACATGTCATTTCTTTGTGAGCCTACCCTTGGGGTTTGTGTGCAAAATAACAAGCTGTGTGACAAAAAGAGAAGGGGATGAGGAGAGAAGTGACACAGACAGTAGTCATCTGTTCCTCAGATCTTCCATCTCATCAAGCTGGAGTCTGTCTTTCCTCCCTGTCCCCTTTTCATCCCCATGAAATCACTGCCTGTAGGACTGAGCCATTAAAGGATCTGGGAGGTGGAATAAAAACCTGGGTCCTGACAACTAGGCTGCAGACATCATCAGCCCCACCCTATATCAGACAATAGTCAAAGAATTTAGTTCATTTCTACAGTTGTGAGGTTAAAAAATTATTTTCAATTTTTCATCCTTGTGGAAAGAGCTTCAGTCTTGGTTTAGGACCCCAGATCTGCTTCTTTTGGGGGGACATTAGAGAGTGAACAAGGACCTTTTATTGGGGGTCAGGGTGGGGCACAAAAAAAGACACGAGAGGATTTCACTGGTGCATTTGAATGTTACTAGGTCATGGTCAGGGAAGGTTAGGAAGGAGAACTTGTGGCAGGGACCAGCCTTATCACTCTGGTGCACCTGGTCACCTGGGCAGGATGTCACAGTCTATTTGTGGGGATGTTGAGGCAGCAGGAAAATATGAAGTTTTAAAATTTACAATGCAAACTCATGCGGTCTGGCTCCCAAGCCCATGCTCTGATCTCCTACACTACACCACCTCCAAAGAGGTGTTATTCACCCCCACTTTACAGATAAGGAAGATGGGCTCAAAGTGTGGAGCAAGTAAAGGCTGGAGCTGGACAGTGAATTCCAGTCTGTTGGAATCACCTCCAAGTCTGCTTCCCCAGGAAGCCAAGCCTAATGGAAAGCAGAGGGATGGGAAGCTGAGCAAGGAGCTCTCTGGGGAGGAGAGAAGTGGGCACAGAGGAGTGGCACTCGGAGATGTGATTAAATACAAGAGAGGGTTCCCTGCAGGGCCTAGCCCAGAACCCTAGGGCATGAGACCCCAGAAGCCTCAGGTATCTGAGTGCTTCCTTGCTCCCATTATTATAAGGAAACGCTAGCTCTGCTTCTTATTTGTTCTGTGACTTACTTAACTCTTCTCCAAACCTCAGTTTCCTCATTTGTAAAATTGAGGACGATAATACATACCTTAAGAAATACTACTTCTATCTGATCTTAGGGAGATGGCCTTACTACTAGGACATGGCCAACAGTGTTTTTCTTGGAGAGGGAATGAATTTGCATTCATCATCATTCATAAGGACTCCACCATCAAACATGACCTGCACCAATTTAACACCATCAAAGGTTCAATCTAAGACCATCACTCTGCCCAGAAAAGGATTTGTGGAAATCAAAGCACGGACTGGTTCTTAGGAGTAGGAACATCTGGCCACCTTTGCCCAGTCCCCATGGGTTCCACCTTCAGAAAAAAAGGAAATAGGCTCTGTCTCCTGCCATACCCTGAGGAATCCTGCATGTGATGAAGTCAGAACCATGGCATTATTGGTTGTTAGGCCTCCAGGGTCATCTTGTCCCCTCTCTGGGGTACAACTCAATCTAATACAATTTTGGTGCACGAAGCCTCTACTACTCTTAAAAAACCTTAGGGAAGATAATTCCACATGTTTTTCCAGACACTTATGCCCATTTGTGAAAGGCTCACAGGTGGGAATCTTAAGTCAGTCATGAAAATCACCCAGTTTCCATATACTTAAACTTGGTCACAAAAAACTAGAATGGAATGAAGAAGAGGAGGCAGGGCCCTATAAGAGGCTTGGTATCACCCCATGATAGCTCAGAAATGGGATTCTTGTAGAAGCTTGCCATGTGAATGACTTTGGTCCAGTTCACTTCAGCAGTAAATCTAATACCCTCCCCACCGTGCAACCAAGAGAGGCCCACCTGAGGGTGGGGCAGTCATAACTGATCCTTCTTGTTCTGTTTCTCTGAGGTCAGGGGCAACTTAAGGTGGAGGAAGGGGCTCTTATTTAGAGAGAAGGCTAGGTGGCTGGACTATGAAAGTAATGATCCTATTTTAAGGATAGAGGAGCAAACAGTGTAATTTTATTTTTATGGTTGATCTAACCTAGATCCTGCTGAAATCAATTTTCTCCTGGTGTATACAGAGCAGACATAAAGACACTGGTGAACTTACACTGAATTTTTATATGATGATTTCAGTAATCTTGTGGGTCTATGTCCTCTCTGTATCAGAATTAGCAGTAAGTCATGCTTGGTTCCTAAATAAGTGCCATCTCTCTAGAAGGAAGACCATGAACAATAATTGAAAAAGCATAGCACTGAGACTCAGACAGCTCTGTTCAATCTCAGTACTGTCCTTACCGGTAAATTTGGACATGTTAGTTAGTCCCTCAGAGGGGACTTCTTATCCCCCTCTTATCCCTTCTTATCTATATCTTCAGAGACTCGGTGTTCTTATCTTAAAATGAGGAAAAGAATATCTTCTTGGCGGTGATGTTATAAAGATTAAATGAGATAGTATATGTAAGTGCCTGGCACATGCAGGCTCTCAATAAACGGCACCTTCTGTGACAGGACCAACTATTCCATGAACCTTAACACGGCAGATTTATAAGCTGGGCCCAGACCACAGTCCAGGGCTGCAGGAGATCCAGGGTGAACAACTAATTTCTGGGCCACCTGGATGCAACAAGAGAGAGGCGCCTGAGGTTGGGGAGGTATAAGGGCTGGGGAACAGGTGCGGCAATGTGCTGCCAGTGGTTTGCTCCACTCCCCTCCTCCAGCAGCTACAGGCTTGAGCTGCCAGGGGTTCCCACCAGGACCTGGGGGCTGATGGTCAAGGCAGAGAATACAGGACAGGCTTGTGCAAGTTTTGAGTTTAGATATTACTGCTAGCCAGCTAGCTAATGGAAGTCCCTGGCTGTTCTACCCAGGGTTTGTAGGATCTCCTCTTCCTGGTCCCAGGGCCAGGCAAGGACACTCTGGGCAGAAAGAAACTGTGTACAGGAAAAACAGCAGCTTCTTAATCAGTCCAGGAGAACAGAGCACAGCTGAAGCGTCGTTCTGCTCTCATTTAATTATCAAAGTGATTCCTCTTCTCTGTCCTCCCTGGGGCTGTGTGCCCCAGATTCCCTGGGCCCAGTAATTGCCTCTCTGTTAATAGAAATCATCAGTATTTATTACACTGAGTGCACGAGCTTATTTCAGCTCTCCTTGTAGCAACATTAAGGGGAGTGCATGGTAGCATATCACTAAAGTGACTCTACTTAATGACACGACTAAAGGCTCCCAGACTGCTCTTTTTTTGGGGGAGAGCTGAGGAAATCTTGAGCCAGAGCCTAATGTGAGGAGCTGAGGGGCCACATGTGGAGCCTGCAGTAGACCCTGATGTGGCCATGGGGGAGCAAGAAGCATGGGGCCCAGGAATAAGGGACTGGAAGCCCAGTGAGATGATCGCGCCCACTTTCTCCCCAAAGTAAGCCTTCTGGGGGCTCTGCTCTACATAGGGTACATAACAATGGGAAGTGACTTGAGTTCAAAATCTTGCTCTACCACTCAGGCCTTATGAACTCTGGTCTCCTAGAAATATCAGTCTTTTTATCTATAAAACACAGAGAATAACATCCACCTCCTAGGGCTGGTGTGAGGATTAGATGAGAAAATACAGATGTTTCTTGAGTTATGATGGGTTACATCCAGATAAACCCATTGTACTGAGACATGGTGAGTCCAAAATGAATTTGTCATATGCATCTAACCTACTGAATATCACGGCTTACCCTAACCTACATTAAATGTGCTCAGAACACTTACATTAGCCCACAGTTGGGCAAATCACCTAACAAAAAGCCTATTTTATCTTACCTTATTTTTATTTTTTTGGCAGCTGGCTGGTATAGGGATCTGAACCTCTGACCTTGGTGTTATCAACATTACGCTCTAACCAAACTAAGTCAACCTGCCAGCCCTCAAAGCCTATTTTATTCTAAAGTGCTGAATATCTGATGTCATTTATTGAATACTGTACTGAAAGTGAAAAATAGAATGGTTGTATGATGGTTGTATGGGTACTCAAAGTAACATTTCTACTGAATGCATTATCTATCGCTTTTGTACCATCCTAAAGTGGAAAAATCATAAGTCAAATCATTGTAAGTTGGGGACCACTTGTAATATGAAAGGACTCCACTGGACCTACCATGGAAGGCGTGCCACAAACATTTCTTCCTTCCTCCCTCCATCCCTCCTTTTCCCTCTCTTTCCCTCCTTTTCCAGGAGTTGATGCTGTGGGGTTGAATGATATGACGTAGAGGACTGGGCCTCTCACAATGCCTGGTGTGAATGCTGGTTCTCCCCTGCAGCCTCTTCAGCCTCTCTGTGTCCAAGGAGCCCCACAGTCGTGGGGTACACATGGATTTGGGATGGATACTGGGCTAGCTACCACTGTAGCCTCCAGACCCCCATGGGCAGCAGTGGAGAATCCCTACCCACCTCTAGTCAGTTGTTGTGCTGGGGTTCACTGCCTGCCCACCTCTATGTGCTGTGAGTCCTGCCCAGGAACCCATCTCTGAAGAGGTGGGCGCCATGTGTGGCCTCAAGGGGACTCAGCAGGTTCAGGGTCAAACACAGAGGTGAGCTGACACCTTCTGAGACTGTATCAACCTTTAGGCAGCTATGTCATTTAAGGTCCTGGAATGACTGAGCAGTTTAGGGAGCACAGTTAGTGAACGCCTATTGTATACTTTCACACAAATGAAAATGTAAGGCTCAGAGAAGCCTCCAAAGACCCCACTATGTTGGGGCCAGCTGACTCCAAAGCTCTCTTCTCTCCTGTGTCAGTCCCCTGCTGATAGTATCTAAGCAATTTATGGAGGAGTTTCAACTACATCTGTCATACAGAGGACATTATTTAGAAAGCTTTGCTAATTTGTAAATATCTGTCAGTTCTTTGGTTTTAACAGGCATGAATATGTTTTCTGACAGTGCTGGCCCCAAGAACATATGGGTTTTCTGGCATTAGGCTGTGTTGGTGGACAGGAAACTGTGAGGTAGGGGAGATGACCAGGGTTTCTGAGTGCCAGAATGTCCTCAAGGTTCATATTAAATCTTCGGCAAGAACAAATCAATATTACCTTACCACGGGGCCAAGGGAAACACTGCTTTGTCCCTATATCACTGTGTTGCTTAGTTTCTATTCTATTCATTATGGCCTGAATTGTGCCTGCCTCCCCTCCCCATTCATATGATGAAACTCCAACTCTCAGTACCTCAAAATGTGACCTTATTTGGAGATAGGATCTTCACAGAGGTCATTAGGGTGGGCCCTAAACAAATAGAACTGGTGTCCTTATAAGAAGAGGAAATTTAGACACAGACATATATTAAAGGAAGGCAATGGGAAGACACAGGGAGAAGATGGCCATCTACAAGTCAAGGAGAGGGGTCTGGGACAGATGCTTCTCTCACAGCCCTCAGAAGGAACCAACCCTGCTGACAACTTGATCTTAGACTTCCAGTCTCCAGAACTGTTAGGCAAAAAACTTCTGTTGTTTAAGCCAACCAGACTGTGACATTTTGTTACAGTGGCCCTAGGGAACTAATATACTCTTTCATTAAGTTTTGCTTGAAACTTACAGCATTCCCTCACCTAGTAGGAAGAAAAGGTTTCTGTCTTCCTGCTCCCCGCTGACACTGTCTCCTTAAGATCAGTTTGAGAGTTGCTTTTACTGGTGGTACTACAAAACCTCCCTAGTCATGGAAAGAGAAGGGCAGAAATGTGGACACCAGCAATTCTGACACCAGCAGTGTCAAAGCAACAGGGAATTGAAGTGGAGGACCGAGCCACAGAGAGACAGGAAGAGGCCATGGGTCTGCCCGGCTACAACTAGTGACTGTGGCTGCCTGTGCTCTCCAAAATGCCAGACACAAGTCATTACACAGGTTTTCCTATGGGTACAGCCTCCATGGTTGGTTCCCGTGTCGCCCTCACAGGCACTTAATGGAATTAAATGTGACTCCACTCTGGTTCTGCGCAGTGACTTATGACACTGCAGTCAATAAAACTCACTCTTGAAAGAAACTAGATTACAGGTCACAGAAGGGTGGGCAGTTGCTAAGCTGCCTCCAATCATTCCCTGTGGGGGGCCTTCCACATTCTTCATCTTTTCATTTCTACTAAATTACCCACTGCTGCCAAAGTGGGGCCCCAGTTTCAGATTTGTCACGTAGATGGACTTTGCCTCAGATCCTCTGACATTGATGTGGCACCATAAAATTATGCAGTATGTATTCAGAGTTTCCAAAATGAGACATTTTCTCTGGCATCTGTCACTGAAAGAGCCAATCATGCAGATCATTGAATGGGGCCATTGGGGGCAGGCACATATTCCCTTGCCCCTGTTGCCCTCTAGAGAGGCAAGGTCAGAGCGGACTCTGACCATCAGGAATCTTACCTTACACGGGTGAGGATCCACTCCATATGTCTCCAATGTCTGTGCTTTTCTTAAGAAGTTCAGCTCTGACGTTGCTGGTGTTTGACCACTGGAATAAAGAAAATGAGATGATTTCAGAGTTTCCTCTTCCCACAGGTTCCCCTGAGGTCAACTTTCTACTAAGAAGTGCTCTGGGTGAACCACACACCTCAATTTTTTCCATAAAGTGTGCTCTATGCTTAATTCTAGGACCAATTCAGGGACTTCTGTCTAGGGTCATAAACTCAAATTCAGAGTGAGGCAGGCTACTCACCTAGTCTGAGTGTGAGCATAGGGAGTGGTGGGGACTGGCAAACTGGGGGTGCTCCCCATATCTAATGAGCACAGCTGCTCCTCAGCTCTGAGATCACGTGAGAATGCAGGGCTCAGCATTGCTAGGTGTTGTGATTTTTAAAGAGAATTGAGATAATGATTTTTATGTGGTATTTCACAATTTTATATTCTATGGGGACAAACAAAACACACATATAGGCTGGATGCACGCCACAGGTTTCTCATGTGTGATGTGATCTAGACTGAAATACAAAGGAGGGGACCATATATACCATTTCACAATTTTATATTCTATGGGGACAAACAAAACACACATATAGGCTGGATGCACGCCATCAGTTTCTCATGTGTGATGTGATCTAGACTAAAATACAAAGGAGGGGACCATATATACCTTGCTGGTGTCACCTAACCTTTTTCTTTTACCAAAAGGGAACATGGCAATGTAGGGTAGGAGAAGTGTAGGAAACAGTGTTGAGCTCCCCGCACTCCACAACAGCTTTCTCTGTCCACAGAGTGGTGACTATGAAAAGGAAACAAGCTGAAAAAGGAAGATATCAGCACTGGTTCCAAGTCTTCTGAAGAAGCGGCTTTTAGCTTCATTCCCCTTCTAACTACCTCTGTAACAGGTGTGTTAATGAAAAGGAAACAAGCTGAAAAAGGAAGATATCAGCACTGGTTCCAAGTCTTCTGAAGAAGTGGATTTTAGCTTCATTCCCCTTCTAACTACCTCTGTAACAGGTGTGTTGATGAGGTCAACACAGAACCAGACAGCATCACCATCTGGCTCACTCATGGGTTCAGAGCCCC